CCACATCGCTGCCTGTGTAGCCCCGCCCACCGAGTCTACATCGCTGCCTGTTTAGCGCCGCCCACCGAGTCCACAACGCTGCCTGTTTAGCCCCGCCGCTCTGATTCTACGCCACTGCCTGTTTAGCCCTGCCCACCGAGTCCACATCGCTGCCTGTGTAGCCCCGCCCACCGAGTCTACATCGCTGCCTGTTTAGCGCCGCCCACCGAGTCCACAACGCTGCCTGTTTAGCCCCGCCGCTCTGATTCTACGCCACTGCCTGTTTAGCCCTGCCCACCGAGTCCACATCGCTGCCTGTGTAGCCCCGCCCACCGAGTCTACATCGCTGCCTGTTTAGCGCCGCCCACCGAGTCCACAACGCTGCCTGTTTAGCCCCGCCGCTCTGATTCTACGCCACTGCCTGTTTAGCCCTGCCCACCGAGTCCACATCGCTGCCTGTGTAGCCCCGCCCACCGAGTCTACATCGCTGCCTGTTTAGCGCCGCCCACCGAGTCCACAACGCTGCCTGTTTAGCCCCGCCGCTCTGATTCTACGCCACTGCCTGTTTAGCCCTGCCCACCGAGTCCACATCGCTGCCTGTGTAGCCCCGCCCACCGAGTCTACATCGCTGCCTGTTTAGCGCCGCCCACCGAGTCCACAACGCTGCCTGTTTAGCCCCGCCGCTCTGATTCTACGCCACTGCCTGTTTAGCCCTGCCCACCGAGTCCACATCGCTGCCTGTGTAGCCCCGCCCACCGAGTCTACATCGCTGCCTGTTTAGCGCCGCCCACCGAGTCCACAACGCTGCCTGTTTAGCCCCGCCGCTCTGATTCTACGCCACTGCCTGTTTAGCCCTGCCCACCGAGTCCACATCGCTGCCTGTGTAGCCCCGCCCACCGAGTCTACATCGCTGCCTGTTTAGCGCCGCCCACCGAGTCCACAACGCTGCCTGTTTAGCCCCGCCGCTCTGATTCTACGCCACTGCCTGTTTAGCCCTGCCCACCGAGTCCACATCGCTGCCTGTGTAGCCCCGCCCACCGAGTCTACATCGCTGCCTGTTTAGCGCCGCCCACCGAGTCCACAACGCTGCCTGTTTAGCCCCGCCGCTCTGATTCTACGCCACTGCCTGTTTAGCCCTGCCCACCGAGTCCACATCGCTGCCTGTGTAGCCCCGCCCACCGAGTCTACATCGCTGCCTGTTTAGCGCCGCCCACCGAGTCCACAACGCTGCCTGTTTAGCCCCGCCGCTCTGATTCTACGCCACTGCCTGTTTAGCCCTGCCCACCGAGTCCACATCGCTGCCTGTGTAGCCCCGCCCACCGAGTCTACATCGCTGCCTGTTTAGCGCCGCCCACCGAGTCCACAACGCTGCCTGTTTAGCCCCGCCGCTCTGATTCTACGCCACTGCCTGTTTAGCCCTGCCCACCGAGTCCACATCGCTGCCTGTGTAGCCCCGCCCACCGAGTCTACATCGCTGCCTGTTTAGCGCCGCCCACCGAGTCCACAACGCTGCCTGTTTAGCCCCGCCGCTCTGATTCTACGCCACTGCCTGTTTAGCCCTGCCCACCGAGTCCACATCGCTGCCTGTGTAGCCCCGCCCACCGAGTCTACATCGCTGCCTGTTTAGCGCCGCCCACCGAGTCCACAACGCTGCCTGTTTAGCCCCGCCGCTCTGATTCTACGCCACTGCCTGTTTAGCCCTGCCCACCGAGTCCACATCGCTGCCTGTGTAGCCCCGCCCACCGAGTCTACATCGCTGCCTGTTTAGCGCCGCCCACCGAGTCCACAACGCTGCCTGTTTAGCCCCGCCGCTCTGATTCTACGCCACTGCCTGTTTAGCCCTGCCCACCGAGTCCACATCGCTGCCTGTGTAGCCCCGCCCACCGAGTCTACATCGCTGCCTGTTTAGCCCCGCCCACCGAGTCCATATCGCTGCCTGTTTAGCCCCACCCACCGATTCCACATCGCCGCCTGTTTAGCTCCGCCCACCGAGTCTACATCGCTGCCTGTTTAGCCCCGCCCACCGATTCCACATCGCTGCCTGTTTAGCCCCGCCCACCAAGTCTACATCGCTGCCTGTTTAGCCCCTCCCACCGATGTTCGCATGTAGTTTAGGAGAGAAGCGAATGCACAGGTCTAAGCAGCATCGCTGCCTGTTTAGCCCCGCCCACCAAGTCTACATCGCTGCCTGTTTAGCCCCTCCCACCGATGTTCGCATGTAGTTTAGGAGAGAAGCGAATGCACAGGTCTAAGCAGAAACCAAACGATAACGATGCTCTGAAGACAACAAGACGCGTTGTGGTAACACATCGCCTTCCTTCTGATCCCAACGTTAGGAAAGAGTGAATTAACTTTATTTTTTAATGAAGATCCAGACCGCATCAGTAAGAACTTTACCGCGGATTCATTTTCAAACAAGGCACAATTCGACGCGAGATTTTCAGAAAGATTGAAACCAAAAGATGATGCTATGCGACTATATTGGATCCGACAGTAATGTCACATCACACAAGCGTGCGCATCTGTTTTTATTACACGATCACTATTGCTTTGTCTGTTAAACAGATTGTTTGAGTATTAATGCGTTTTTTAACCTAAATCCCAGCAGTGTCCATCTATGAAGAGTGTGCGCTGTCAAACAGACACAACTATTAGCCAATCACAGCAGTGGGCGTTTACTTCTGAGTCTACAATCCTCCACGCCTATTCAAACAGAGCGTTCTGAAGAGAGGGGTTAAAACAGGACAGAAATAGCATATTACTTCTAAATCATGATGTAAAAATCTTGATAACATTATAAGTGGACCTCAGAGAACAGTACAAATAAAATAAAACAAAAGCAGTTCATGACCCCTTTAAAGACTTCAGAGTGATCATACCTCCTCTATTTTTCCTGGCTAGTGTCTAGGATTTGTCTTTGTTTATCTACTGTTTTAGATGCAATATCGCCTACATGCAATATTATTATTATTTTAATTTTCATTAATTAGTCCGGGGAAAAGAGAATGCATGGTCAACATTAAAGTAATTGAAAATGGCGTTTAGTTAAATAAGACCTTTGCAGTAAGTGTGTGTCGGTCTGTGACAGCAGCAGTTTGTCTCTTCTTTTGTGATTTTTTACTGCAGATGACTTTCTATTTTCATGCATTTTTCTCAGGGATTTATTATTGATGCTGTAGCGCCATCTACAGGCCACAGCGGCGCATTACAGGTCGGATTTGGCCGGATGCGCTTCTCTGGTTGACAGACAGACGGCGCTGGTGAGTCACTTTCAAATCTCACGTTTAGTTTGAATGTGAAATACTGTTGTACTGGCATCTAAAATATTTAGGATTTGGTTTGATATATGTAAAAGTAACAGTTTAATTAAAAAAAAATATATATATAATGTTAAATGTATTGAAAAAGCACAAAAAGCAACAAATCTATTAAAAATGTGACAATTGTATAAAAACGGCCAGATCATCTATAATTATTTTTGTTAGAATGGTAGTTATTAATATAAATTAATATGATGAGTGATTACTGTTTAAAAATGTAAATCTCGGAAAACTGGTCGAAAATGTGCATGGTCATATTTCACCCCAAAATGAAAATAAATACATAATTACAATTAAAAATGACAATTATGTACTTTTATAACGTTGTGTTTTTATCACTTTTTTAGTTTGTTCCAAAATGTTTATGTATAATTTAATATCACTTATGCAATGTCACAATGTCACAAAAAAAATTATATAAAAATACATTTCTTTATGAAAAATAATTTCTAAAATAACTTTCCATTGAATTTATGACCTGTGGATATTTTAGTTCTTTTGAGAGTCACTAAATCAATATTATTGATTTTTTGCATCTAGTTTCAATCTTGCTTTCTATCCGCATTGCAGGAAAATCAACAACTTCGAGCTTGTGATGCATTATTTCCTGCGATTATGATTCTGGTGTATATTTATGCCTTCACTTTACATTTAAAAGTTTGTGTAAATGCTCATAAATGTCTAAATATTTCTGTTTCCATCACCGAACTCCTCTTATGAATGGATGACCCCATAATTCAGTATCCTGTCAGAACCTTGAACATTAGTTTTTATTCATTCAAGCAAACTGTTACAGTAAACAGTTACATACGTTACACGGTATACAGTATTTTAAATCATGTTTAATCTTTGTTTCTGAAACTCTTTTTTCCGTTTGGAACATAGAAACAGCGAATGCTGGAGAAATGCAGGCAAAAGTAGTAACAGCACAATACATTCAACTCATCAACATTTATACAAACCATAAGGCCTAAGAAAGAGAAACCGGCGTTCAGTCCCAGCAGACGACGAGCGTTTACTCTCATCTCTTCTTCACTCACGAAGTCTGGTTTGAAATATGACTAGGTCTGTTCTCACGTTTTGGCAAACAATTATTACAATTTTATTTTGTTCGTAAATTGAGAAATGCAATAAATGACAATTTATAGACCTCAGAAAGAAAAAGGCCACAATGTTTTACAATGTTTTTTGTTTGACCTTTATGGATGAATCTCATGAAAACATGTCACATTTCACCCTTAAATCAAAGAAATCATTTAGAAAAAATATCATAAAATAAAAAAGAAAGAAAGAAAAAGAAAATTAAGCCCATTTTAGGGCTAAATTACCATTTTAAAATTAATGTATATTTATTAGTCTGGAGGAAAAATGATTTTAAATATTTTAACAATTATTTATAATTTTTAAAAAATAATATTTATAGAATATAACCTATATATTTGTGTGTGTTTATGTATTATACAATATTTTAATTAAATATATTTCAACACATTTTTCCTCCAAATTAATAAATAAATTATATATATATATATATATATATATATATATATACACACACACACACACACGTGTGTGTATGAATGTATATGCATAACAAAATGCAAGATCTAAATGCAAAAAAAAATAAAATAATTAAATTAAATTTAAAAAGAGAAATAAAAAACTAAAATGCATTTTCTTCATGGGAAATTAATTTTTTATTAAATTTTTAATTGTGAGGTGAAATGGACAAGAGATTCACTCGTGTATTTTAAGTCGTCTTGACAAGATAATAAAAACGTTCCTTCATTTTTTTCCTTTGACTTTGTCCATCACAAGCACAAAATGACATCAAACATCTCTGAAATGGAAGAACAGTTTAGATGATATAGAAAGTATAATAATCATCCGTCACATTCTGATATGACACACTGAGACGTTCCTGTCGTGACCAGAAGTCGCTGTCGTCTCTCGCGCTGAACTATAACAACAAACCAACCGCTTTTGTTGTTCCTATTGAGAATAAAAGACGGACGAATTCAAATGAAAGAAAACTGACAGATAAAAAAACCCCAACATGGTTATTTTCATTCATCAATTGCACAACAAGTGGTTAAAAAACATTAAAGCAAAGCATTCTGGGAACATGGAATACAGTCGTCTGCAGTCCCGATGTTTCCTGAATTAGACCGCGACTGATGGGAGAGTGTTTGTGGGAAAACTGTTATTGGGAAGAAGGTTAGCTGAGATTTCATGAAACTCTTGATCCCGTGACGTTCGTCTTTCTCTCATTCCATCCAGTCGACCTCGTCGAACTCGTCCTCGTCTTCGGAGTCGCTGTACTCCACCGCGATGCGGCGCGACAGGATTGTGGCCACGTCGTTCCCCACGCGCTCGTGTTTGGCCTCTTGTTCCCGCTGCTCCTCCACCTTCCTCAGCTGGATCCCTGAGACACCGAGGTTGAGCTCGTTATGCTCACGTTTGCATGTATGCATTTTATTGACATTGCATTTATGCATTTATGCAATGTCAATAAAATGCATAAATAAAATGCATAAATGCAATGTCAATAAAATGCATTCATGCAAACGTGAGCATAACGTTTGCATTTATGCATTTTATTGACACTGCATAAATGCATAAATAAAATGCATAAATGCAAATGTTATGCTCACATTTGCATTTATGCATTTTATTGACGTTGCATTCAAGGTGCACATTTACATTTCATCACTTCTAGCTTTCCCTAGGAATCGAACTCATGACCTTGGCGTTGCAAGCGCCGTGATTTACCGTTTATATAAGATCAAGCAAATGAAATATTTAATTTGCTGCCTGTTCTAGAGCTCGCAATCCGAAGTTATTTCTTTGACTGATGCTTGTACATTTTTAATTATATATTTTAAATTATACTAATTTAATATTTTCATTTATTTAACGCATTTATAATATTTTATTAATGCTATTTAAATTTGTTACTTCAATTGATTTATTGAATTTATAATTTGTAATTAATTATTTATTCTAATTGTATTAATTTATTACTTGCGTTTATTTATTGCATTAGTAATTTTTATTAATTGTATGTTTTTATTATATACATTTATTTTATTCACAATTTGTATTAATTATGATTTTTATTGTATTCATTTATAAGTTACATTTTAATTGCATTGATCATTTTATTAATTATATTTTTTATTACACAAATGTATAAATTACATATATTATATTCACAATATATTTATAATATTTTATTATTTTTAATTACAATTTTTAATTATATTAATTTATTAGTTCCATGTATTTATTGCATTAATTATTATTATTAATGCATAAGTTTTTATTATGCCTTTAAATTAAAATTAATAAAATTAAATTATTTTATTACTTATATATACATTTTAATGTGTTGAAAAAATGTGTTGAAATATATTTAATAAAATTATATACATATAATATACATATAATATATATATATATATAGCATCTGATTGCCACAGAAATTAATAAAGTTGTAAACTAAACTACATAAAATGTTTTATTTGGGGCCAAAAGGTTTGGAGCTTTTAATAAATATCCTAATAAATATCTGAATATGCAATTTAGACACATGAAAAACCACAAAAAGATCTACTTGATCTACTTATTTTTTTCCATTCATTTTCTTTTTAGAAAAAAAAAAGTGTTCTGAGATTAATCACAACAAAAAAAATGTTTAAATAAAATTCGGAGCAAAATAAAAATAGTAAAAAAGACAAATACAGGCTGAATTTAGTATAGCATACTAGCACATTAAAATATATAAAGATATGGCAGAAATAGAGCAGTATGCTACCTATTCTAAATTTAGCTTTCCGTGTATTAAAAGTTTAGACGGGAATCCCATGATGCATTGCAATTGACGTAATCAAATCAGCCATGAAAATACTATAGAAACGTATTGATTGTAGGTATAGAATAATAATTACAAAATAAAATATGTATAATTATATTGTAGTGTGCAACTGTTTTTAGTGTAGATTTTGGACAGATACCTGATTTGCATATACTAAGTGAACTTGAGTAAAACTCCGCCTACCTTTACGGATGGCCTCCAATAGAACGCTGCGGGCGTCGCTGATTGGCGGAAGGTTGGATGGATACCTCTTGACCTCGTGACCCGAGTGAGTGGGTGGCGACGAAACGGCTCCTGATGGGAAGGAAGGCATGGTGGGCGGGCCTGAGGATGAGCAGGGGGAGGAGCTTCTGTTTCCTGGGAGGGGCAGAGGAGGAGGCGGCGGAGGAGGTGGCAAAACCATTCCGTCTCCAGCTGTGGGCGGAGTCTTGCCCAGCTGTCCGCGGGCGGGGGAGGAGTGAAGGGGCGGAGCCACCGGAGGGGGGGCGGGGGGCAGGACGCCCGGGGCGATCTGGCTGCTGGAAAGGTAAGGGAGGGATCGGAGGCGGAGCTGAACCACGCATTCTTGAACCTGATAGGCTGGCTGGCAGAGGGGGAGGGGGCGGGGGTAAAGGGGGAGGTGCCGGGGGCGGGGCATTGGAGTTGAGGAAGACAGGCGTGCGAGCCGGAGAATGCGTGACGCTATCCGAGAAACCTGAGCTGGAGCTGCGAGACAGAAATACGGGAGAAAAAAAAGTCACAATGCAAATATTACATAAAATTATAATTTCTTTTGATTTTGGAGTGAAATGTGATCTGGACAGGTTTTCACAGGATTCAGGCTTAAACGCAGTACTAAAGAGTAGTGATAAAATAATTCAGTCCAATTAAAAATTGGATAATGTAATCTAATTAAAACTAGGCTTTTTATTAAATATTTGTGTTTGCTACTCATTTTTATGCTTGTTTTGTTATTTGATTAGCATGTTGCTAGCTTGCAAACACGCTAATGGCAATCTTTATTAGAGGCTTTTGTTTTTTTTCTCCATTAATTTTACCCATAGGGGTATTTAAAAAGGTCTTGCTATTTTTTTTAATTAATTAAATAATTTAAATATATTGATTTATTAATTGCATTTATTTATTCTGTAAATATTTTTGCATTAATTATATATATTAATTTATGTTCATTTTATATATTTATTATTACATCTCATTTACATAAAATATTAATTATATATTTGAATTATATTGATTTATTAGTTGCATTTATTTTTTACATACATATTTTGTTTTAAAGGGGTCATATGGCGTTGCTAAAAAGAACATTATTTTGTGTATTTGGTGTAATGAAATGTGGTTTAAGG